TATATTAGTTAACATGTGATCTAGTTTCCCAGATTTGAGAAGCACATTATGTCCTTTTCAAGAGTTTTACAATACTAATTGTTTTTAATTGGATAAAATTGTCAGATCCATCATAATATTTAATATTAAATGAGCTAAATAGTTTGTAGTCTTAAGTCCTGAATTTGCAGTAGTAACATTTTTACTACTTAGTTTCATAAGAATCATTTCCTATTTGTGTAAAATAAAGATGGTTATGATTTTTAATTCACAATATATAACCAGACTAAAAATGTAGGGCTATGATATGATGTCAGTTCTGTTTGAGACCTGTTACTTGCCTTAAACGCTGTAAAACTTACATAGACCACTTTTTTTTCTAAAGTGCAACAAGGATGAATAGAATGGGCCCAGGTATGCAAGTTAATGATTCTGCATGATACAGCACCTGTTGTGGGATCTTTTAATCAAAACTTTGTCCTTTTGTGGAGCACTGTTATGAGAGGGGATTTTGATTTTAATTTCCAAAGAAATCATGCCTACTTTTCACCTTTGCTTTCTAACTGAAAGCAAATGGCTGCTGCTGCTGCCTAACTCTTGTCATGCTCAGGACCATCCCAGCATTGCATGCGGTTGACTATCATCCTCTCTCTACCTCCGTCCATCTGATAGGTTCCAGTGATCTCTCTTTCAGTAGTCCCCCTCGACTTGAGTTCCTCTTGTTCATTTACCTCTCATTAGGTTTTCTTTCTTTCTCTAAGACATTGTGTGAGAGGTCAGTGTGTCTGCACATTGTTCCTACATGTAGATTATCAAAATGTATTTGTTTCACTTAACGTTCAATTCAAATAAGGTATTTGGAAAATAATAAAATCTGATTTAATGATTTGTTTCCATGTCGTTCAATCAAATTCTATAAAATTACAATAACGAACTGTAATAAAATTGCATATTTAATATAATTATATTTACTACGTTGTTATTCTTATTAACTATTATTATGTTTGACATTTAAATACAAATAATTGCATCGCACAAACATGCATATCATACAATATTTGTTCAAATAAAAAGTGTCGACTAATTTTCTACTGTTCAATAAATATAGAATTTAACATTTTAACAAATGGGAAACTGCCACTTGTGTCAATCTCCAGATTGGTTGATTAACCAGCCTGGCCAATATCTCTATGCGATATGCATTGGTGGCTTTTCTCATATTCGCCACTTTGCGTTGTGCCTAAAAACATCTTTTTAAGTAAAATTATAGTATTTTACGACCTCTCGTGGCTTATGGCTGCATTAATGCAAAAACGTAGATTTGGTAAATCGTTAAAAGTTCCCCACTCAAACCAGGCGAAAGTGGTTTCACGTTCCGCTCTCAGCCCAAATTCACCTCAAATATCCGTGAGAGAGGGGAGCCATGATGAGAGTCCCTGTGCTGCTGAAATTGGCTCTTTTAACCCTTGCGGAGCCAGAGGATGTCTCGGGGCGATGTAAGTGCCAGCATCAGTAGTAAACTCAGGGGAACGGAGCGAGGTGGCTGACTCCTTGCACCACCTCAGGCACAGCTCCACTTACATCAAACGACTGCGCCGTGACACTCTCCCCCCGCGGCTCGTCGCAGCCTGACACTCCAAGGTGTGCAGCACATTTCAAGTTGGAGGAATAGTTGGAAATGTTGGAGTGCTGGAAAATGACACTGCCTAGGAGAACGCGAATGTGATGGGGAAGGATGCCGGCCTAACGCCTGGTTTAAGTGCTCATAGGACACAATTCCAAATTAAACGCCTGATTTCGTGATCTTGTGATAACGTGCTCAAATACACAGCATGATACAGTCATTCCTATTTGGCTGTAAATGCTTTTACATACCGTACATTTTGCTGCCTCATGAAATCAGTAATAGGTCCAACAATGTGTGTTTCACCCTGTGTCTTTCTGAATGTGAATTCAAGTTCATGTACTGTATAGAGAGAGAAAGAGAGTGTGGGATTCTTCTTTTTTTTTTTTCTTTGTAGAGATGCATGACCCTGCTTTAAACAGCTGATATTAATGCTGTGTTTCTCGTCTTCTGCTTCTCTCCCACCCGGCTGTCTCACAGAAAAGAGATGGTTTACAGATGAAGCAGAAAACGCATACCCAAGGAACATTCAAATCAAGCCCATGAGCACTCACATGGCCAACCAAATCAATCAGTACAAATCCACTAGCAGTCTGATTCCACCTATCCGAGAAGTCGAAGATGAATGCTGAACGAATCCTTTACCATTACGGAGGGACTTGGGTCATCCTGCTGTAAAAGACGAGCGCTAATCGCGAAACCATGACTGTGATGATGGCGACACATTGTTCTTCCCTTGTTCGACTCGAGGGTTTGAAGCGATTGAGAACTGGAAGGGACTTCCTATGTGTATACCTTTAATGTTACTTCCATACTTTTATATATGTATACATAGTGATGTACATAATGACAATCAAGTAAGGATTGTACAGCCCCCAGCATTTTTTGAAATTGTTAACAGGCAAACAAAGAAAAAAGTACTTCCTGTGATTCATTGCAATATATTTCACCTCTGCCGTGACCTGACTCCATGCAGAGCGCGCTATAATGGAGGATGAGGGTCACCGTCGTTCACTTCATCCAAACACTACCCAAAGATCAGCCCCGCCGATTGAGTTGCGTATCCGTTGTCTGTTTCGTTTCGCACTACCACATAACTCGAGCACTGCTCGCAGAAGAGTCAAAGCTTTCCCTCGGTTCTCCTCTGAGTTTGGGGCTGACGTCACAGGCTGTTAACTGAATGGTTTTGTTCAGGGAAACGAGTGCTTGCGTGACTGTTTTTGTGCATGGTGTGTGCCGAAGGCTGCCTGAAGTAACCTGAACGTGTGGCTCAGGAAAGGATGCCCATTTCCATCCCTACAGACCGTTTAGGCACGTATACACATGGAAATGTTTGCTGTACCTAATGCAAATGGCCGTCCCCAACGTAGCTCTTTGGAATTGGCAATACATTGAGGATATGCACTACTTCTGTTGATGTCTTTCCATCATCCATGACTGCTGGTGTGGGAAAACTGTCTGTGATCGAGGCTTATAACATGTTTGTTTGCGTCTGTGGCTCTGCTATTAATACGACTGAATTGAACACTACTGTAACCTGCTGATAATTCAACAATGATTGAGCTTTAATGCTGAGAAAATTAATAAAATATACAATTGAAAATGCCACATATTGCGAAAAGTGGGCATCAATGGTTCCTCCTTTGGGTGTAGCCACTGCCTGACACCGGGTTGGCACAGGGGCAGAAAAGTGCTTGGATGTTCCCTGTGACCAACCGTGATGCCTTAAACTCTAAGCTCAATCATAATGTTCAATTATCAGCCAAAGATGTAACTGGTGGATGACTCTTGCTGTGGTCTGAATAGATTTGAACGTCACTCACTTCTATCAAGGCAACACGGCTATGTTGTACCTTTAAGTAGAACGTATATTGATACAAATGCTTCACAGACCTTTGAACTTTGATTCAAGTGCTCTGTCAGATTTATACATAAGTACATACTTATTTTTTATCCATGAGCGTAATCATTTTGTACTTATTTTTATACATATCAGAGAACTTTATTTCTAAATGTATCTTAAAGATATCTTAATAGCTACAGTGCAGAGCGATTCAGTTTCTTCAGTTTTACCCCTGACAACACAACATATCACGTAACATCAAAAAGGTACAATTTCAGCTTGCCATCTGGAGTGCTCTTTGATACTCACACGGGCTGCCTTGAAGGACCTCGAGCTCTACTACTAAAACGGCATATATGCTTTCATTTTCATAAGCTAACAGAGATGAAAACCAATATTAAATGACTGATGACACTTTTCTGTAATTCCAGGTAAAGTGATGTTGATCCTCAGATAGACATGAACTCAGAGATGCACGTGATGAGGAGGGGCTCTGCTCTTTCTGTAATGAGTTAGAGTGATGTTTGACCTAAATTAGGTCTTGGTAAAAAAAAAAGCGTGCAGAAGTACTTGTGCAAACATCATTTGATCAGATCAGAAGCGAGCTAATAGATTGTAGATACAAGAAAAGAGACATTAATATTCGTCCATGCATTGAGAAAAAGAATAAAGAATCTGTTGTATAAATTCTGCCCGTTCTAGTCCACGTTTACGTTCTAAAGTAAAAGGATCTCTACGTTATTGTTTGTCTACTGGACAATTAGGCTTTGTCCTGAAGTGATTTTATGAATTGTGATTACAGTGGTGTTACACTTTGTAGCAAGTAGATTTCTTAATAAATGAAGAAAAAAAAATACACACGTGAGTAAACTGTATGTATAATTGGATTGTCTACATACTTGCTAGCCTAAAAAAGATTTTGAGCTAAAAAGGAATCCATTGGAGTTAAATGTCCAATTTATTTATTGTTTCTTCTATGTAAGGTCCTTTTCCTGTAATGTACTACATTACAAAGAAAGGCCGATGGCGCGGTCAAGACAGCAGGTTTGATTTGATGAGAAGAGTGTAGATGCACGTTGAAGAAAGCAAACTAGCTCTTTCTTTTTGAGGATTATTAACCATCAGGTTTTTACATTCCATTTTGTCATCAGCATTTCAATGTTACTATCACATATAGTTTAGAAATGTCAGATTCGCTTGTTTGTTTACAGACCTTTTCTTTCTTTTTCGAAACATACTCGGGTTCTCCTGATGACGAAACTACAAAGAAAAGCTGGCTTACTTTTTTTTTTTTTTGTTACCTTTCGTAGCCCTAATGACAGTTTGAGGTGATACTGATATTTTCTTCTCCACTGCAACAAATGTGCAATGTTTTAATATCATGCAATTTATTTGTACATCTTGTGAAGATATCACAGTTTCTACAGTGCCATGAAATGTATCCATCTACTAGCATCAGTCAGTCATTGGTCAGTAATACTGGATGAATATCATGGCATCTAATACTGGCATGGAGAACATCCAAGCCATCCTTGCCTCCATGCCAGGACAGTGCCAGGCAGTGCAGGAAGACCAGAGGAGGAACGCTGTAAGACCCACTAGAGCGAAAAGTGGCATTCAAACGGGCATCATGGGCCTATGCAAGCTGCTGAAATCCTAGCACCTTGGTTACAGATACTGAAAACGGCAACAGCAATGACTGAAAGATGCTGAGTAGAACTATGATGTTTCGTTGGATCACCTGTCAATGTATTCAAGAGTGTTTAATTAAAGTAACATATAAAGCAACCTTACTGATGTGCTATGTAATACACAACTGTCATATTTTGGCTATTTTATTCTACTGTAAAGGGACAGATTTAAGTTTTAGAAAATGTATAAAGAAAATACACTGTAACTAAATAAATACTTGGAGGGAATTAAGTCTTAACATGCTGAACTTGCATATGGATTACTGTTTTGTTGCTGTCTTTTCTTCCACTTCAATAAATAATCAAAACATCCATCCATACATGTAATTATTGGCATATTCGTTACAGGAAAATGGGGTTTCTCATAGCAGAATGACTGATTTGACTACCAGACGTGAAGACATTGATGGTGCTGAGCTGATCTACCTGACTCTGTCAAATATAACCTGCTGATAAAACATATTGTCTTGTATGATAAGTTTGTACATAAATTGTACATGGTTTCTTTTTGTATTTTCTCAAATTAAAATGGATGTATTTGTGTTCTACAGGTGACTGGTATATTGCGTCATTACTTGATTTACACTGGACATTTGAACCAAAACAGTAAATGAAAAAAAAAAACACATTATTGACAAATGGATATTTTTACAGTCCAAAAAAAAGTGTGGAGGACGACATAGGAAACACACCTTTTCCAAACATCTGCTAATATTTAAAGAGGCGCATTTAATGACACAAATCATCTACTTCAGAATGTGTAGACTTCAGTAGCAAGTCATTTTATATCTACAAAGACACTTGTAGAATTACAAAACACAACCTATGATTACAATGCTCCTCGGTTTCAGTCTATAAAAATGATGACTGTGATTAAACTTTGCTCTATAGTAAGATATTAGTCTGGTCTTACGTGGCTTATTCTTTTCAAAACTAAAGATCTGAGCTCGACCTACCGAGCCGAAATAAAAAGAGGAGGAAGTAGAACAGATGTCGGCTGCGCTCCTGATTTGTAGGCTGAAAAGGGTGGCACCCTGTAGGTTTAACTGTATGGCTTGTTAGTAAGGACTGGCCCCTTTGTGAGATGTTTTCAAAATGATTGATTTACAATAAAGTGGCTCCCTGTGTGTGCACGCAGGCTGAACTGATTCAGATCGATTCCAGTGAAATTGATTGATCAGCCATTTAACTTGGCAGTATGTTTACTGAACGAAACCATGCAAGACCTATTCTCCCAGTCTCTAGCAATAAAACAGAAACAAGCCACACATCACAACAAAAACAACCACGTCTACACTACTACTGCTGCTTCAGATTCTGATTTTATACAAAATATTTATAAATGGCAATAAAATAATCGATTTCACTTTATATTGCGTCTTTAACTGCAAAAACATTTTTGATTCTCTGAAAAAAAAATGTTGAAGAAAATTTTCACTCAGAAATAGCTAGTAAATTTCACAAACAATAAAAAAAGTAACACATTGAATTAAATGTGAATTTAGATTTTTGAAGTAGACTAACTGAAGTACTATTTTCTGCAATGTTTTAGTATGTCATTTATTTTCATATCTTGTGAAGAAACTATATATATATATATATATACACACACACACACCAAAGATTATTGGAGTATATGTTACAAGAAAATAGCACTTCAGTGCTTTCTTTAATTATTTGTGAAATTTACTACCTACTTCTAAGTGAAAATTGTTTCTAAGATGAGCAAATAAATTAATATAATAATAGTACTTCAGTTAGTCTGTTAAAGATTTTTTTTAAAAACCGTGTACAATGTACTTACTGTGTTCCTGTTGCACTCAATATAAAGTGGGTCCATAATATGTGACCTGGGTTTTTGTATACTAGAATACTACTTTTGCAACTCCTTTTTTTAGCATTAAATGCCAGTGGTAAGAACCAACAATTTATAAAACACAAGCTCACTCCCGTCCGTTTGACCTCTCTCCATCTCTCCCTTGCCTGCTCCCAAGCCCTCATCTTTGCCAAGACAAAGCACTCTTGTTTTCAGCCCACAAATCATCCCGCCATGGACACTTCATGCTGTCCTTTGGATAATTGTGGATGAAAACAGCCCCCTACATTCTCACCGTGGGATGTAGTGGCCCCATCATGCTGCTTATTAACGATTTTACACGGTGAGTCACGGCTCCAGGCTTGTCAGTACGCCAGTAATATTTACTGTCTGACACATGGGCTGTGGGGGGAAAAGATTGGGAAGGAGGCGGAGGGGTGGGGGCGGACGGGCTGATTACACCCATCCACCTGACAGCATCCTCATTCCTGAATCCTTCCGCAAATATACTCCTAAGATCATCCTGGGTGCCACCGTAAGGCTGCTTATTATGAATTCAA